ATAGTTACCTGTTTTCTGTGTCCATCCCTCCATGCACTCCTGCCCCCTGGGCTGTCTCCCTGTGCACACACAGCCCTTCTTTCTCCCATGATTGTTCTCTCCAAGGAGTGTATCTACCTCAGGTACATGTTCAACTCACAATGCCTGTCTCTCGTTTGGCTGGAAGCCACATGTGTGGGTTCAGTTCTAAACCTGAAGGGCAGCTAGGGGCCACAGTCTCAGTGGTTCTACCAGGCTCTATTTGAGTCAATTTCTTTTGAGATATAAAAGAGATTAAACAAACAGAATGGGGGAAGAGAGATGGCCCAGGAGCAGAAGCTAAGAAGACACAGGGACCCTCTTCCAGAGAGAGAAAAAGCCTTCTTAGAAGGCGCCCTGAATTCGGACTCCTAGCTTCCAAAACTGAAAAAAATAAATTTCTGTCTTTTCAAGCCACTCATTTGTGGTCTTTCTCTTCCAGCAGCACTAGTTAACTAAGGCAGATGGTGTGTGTTTTGTTGTATATATTTTCACTACAATTAAACAAAACAAATACCACTATTTATGAGCTACTTACAACCTGAGAAAAATGACTTCGCCTTCTGAACCTCAGTTTTCTCATCTGTGTAATGAAGATAGAATCGTCCCTGTCTTATAGGGTTGTTGTAAGGATTAAAGAAGAAAGACATTGCCTGGCACCAAGACAGGGATCCATGAATAGGGGCTATCATCATGCTTATTTCTCCCTGCTCCCCACTTCTGAGGGCCTACAGGCCAGTGGGGGTGAACCTACCACTGCAGGTGATCTCAGAGCCCGAGCATTTGTACGAGTAGCTCTTGGTGTAGGGGTTGTCCAGAAAAAACGTGCAGATATCCTTGGCCTTTTTGTAGCAGTTGTCATGGGTTTGGCAGCACCTGGAGTGGGCGGGGAAGAGAACTAAGACAGGAGCAGGGCCCATGGCAACCGGTCCTGCTCTCTCTCAAGACCAGGTAGGGGTAACTCCACTGAGATGCTCCAAGACATATGGCCCTATGGCTTGGAAAAAATATATAGTCCTTTTATCATATGTTTGTTGAAAATTATTTTTAAATGGTCGCAGGGCTGTAGTAGAAAAACATGTATTTTGAAGATGCAATGATAGTTTTAACCCAGGGCTTCGAACCGGTTCTTTCCGGTTCGAACCCCTGCTGAGAATCTTTCTTTTCACAAGTTGGACATCCTGTCTTAACCACAGCTAGATATTTGGATTGTTGCTGGGGTTATGTTTTGCCGTTATCTGCCGCTAGGGGGCAGCATGATCCACTGTTTTACATCTCCGACGTTCCTTCGGCCTTCCGTCTAATGGGAAGCATTGGGTTCTCTTGGAACCCATTTCTTCATATACCAAGAGGTAGAAATATGTTATCCTTAGCAAATATGCAAACCCCTTTCCTGCCCTCTCTGGTGAAGTGTGAGATCCTTGGCTCCTGCCCGCACCCTCCCCCACCCCTCAACTCAACGGACCCTCCAGTTTCGCGCCTGATCACTCACGTGTCCAGTTCGTCCACCGGGGTGCCTGAGCCGCCTAGGCCACAGTAGCAGCCGTAGTCGTTGTAATCCTTCAAGGGGTCACTGTCGGGGATCGTGCACTTGATCATGTTGCGGAACTGCCATACTGCCCGCGGGTTGATGCCGCTTGTGGCTGCGCTCACTGCAAGCGAAGACACAGCCAGAGTTCAAGTACCGCAAGGCTGACTCTGCCAGAGCCCAGGGAGCCTCTAGCTGTCCCCTTGGCAGCTGCCTCCTGGGGAAAGAGCTGGCGACAAGGAACCTGGTAGAGTGGGGAGGGTTTTCTTTTCCTTTTTTTTTTTTTTTTTTCCCTGAAT